ACAGCTTATTGCATTTGATCTGGTGAGTAGAATCATACTATTCATGCTTTTTGCTGTAAACACTGTCTTTTCAGAGAAAATGCAGTGTTTATATTACAGCCTAGTTATAACTCCACTGGCCCCTCCTCAGATGGCTGCTGAAGGTGCTTCCTATCTCAGTCTTGCCTAGTGTGCATCACAACATATCAGTATCTCCTCCCTCTGCATGCAGACACTGAACTTTCCTCATAGAGACTCATTGATTCAATTCATCTCTATGAGGAGATGCTGATTGGCCAGGGCTGTGTTTGAGTTGTGCTGGCTCTGCCCCTGATCTTTCTCCTTCACAGTCAATCCTATGGGGAAGCATTGTGATTGGCTCAGAACAACACTTCTGATGATGTCAGCATACAGCTTGCTATTCTGAGGCAGACATGGGTAGAGCGAGCAGCTTCATGCTTGAATGCAAGTAAGATTTTACTATATTTAGGGAGGTAAAAGAGGGCCGGGGGGGCAGATGGTGGTTTTAACACTGTAGGGTCAGAAATAAATGTTTGTGTTCCTGACCCTATAGTGCTCCTTTAAGCCCAGCCGCTATAAAGTGGCTACAAAACAAACTCAAAATTTACGTGATAAAATGGTATGCCATTATAAGGGCAATTTTCTTTCTTAAGGTGCCATGTTCTCTCAAAGGTGACATAGGCACAGAAAATAACTGTCAATTTAACAAGTTGAAAAGGACATTGAATATATGTGGTCTGTATGTGAGGGTACTACTAAAAGGGGCCAGCATTTGTGATAAAGTGGCTAGACCAAACAACTCAAATAACGCTGGTTGGAATACCCTGGGTTGCCTACTTTTAAAAATGATATGCCTTCATGGGGGAAATTTTATTTCCTGGGCCACCATAGCGCCCCAAAGACTACACAGGCCAAGAAAAACATTTTGTCAAATTTACAAGTTGAAAAGGGCATCTTATATGTTTGGCCCTGTGACTTCCACAAAAAAACCTGGAAAACTGGTACATGTGGGAAATGGTTGGTGAGACAATGCTAAATAAAAATATTGAGGCTTTATTACACCACACACATCAGGATTAGGAAATGTCCTGTGAAAACAGAATTTGTGTGAATGAATTTAAATAAAAGTATAACCACTAAATGTAGCCTCTATTTGTGATAAACTGGCTAGACCAAACCTCTCAAATAAGCCATTTAAAATCAATCTGGGTTGCCTACTTTTGAAAGTGGTGTACCATAATGGGGAAATGTTATTACCAGGCTGCCATACTCTCAAAGGTGACATGGGCCCAGAAAATTACTTTGTCAAATTTTCAGGTATAAAAATTTGACCTTGTAACTTTCCAAAACCCCATAAAAAAACTTGTACACAACTATTGTTGTACTTGTGAGACATTGCTGAACACAGATATGAGTATTATAGAGCAGTAACATGTATGATGATGATGATGATATCAGTGAAAGTTATTTTTTTGTGTGAGAACTGCAAAAAAAACAAAAAACAAATATGAACACTAACTTTAGTCAGGGTTTCTACCTAAGTTGCTACTTAAAAAAAAAAGACTGGACATACCCAATTTTGAAAGCCCTATTTATCTTGAACAAAATGATATAGAAGTGTGAAGGAATATGAAAGCTGTAAATTATGGTTGGCCATTATTATTATGTAATTATTTATATAGCACCAACAAATTCCGCAGCGCTTTATAGTGGGTGGACAATCAGACATGTAGTTGTAACCAGACAAGTTGGACACACAGGAACCGAGGGGTTGAGGGACCTGCTCAATCAGCTTACATGCTAGAGGGAGTGGGGTAAAGTGACACAAAAGGTAAGGATAGTATTAGACTAATGACAATTGCAAGAGAGGAATCAGTCGGGAGCCATTAACAGTTTAATTGATACACTTTTATGAAGTAGTGGGTTTTTAATGATTTTTTTGAAGGAGTGGAGACTGGGTGAGCATCTAACGGAGGAGGGAAATAAGTTCCACAGGAATGGTGCAACCCTCGAGAAGTCTTGAAGGCGAGCATCAGAGGTGGGAGTACGGACAGAATATAGACGTAAGTCTTCAGCAGAGCGTAAAGGTCTAGACGGGACATGCTTGTGTATTAGGGAGGATAGATAGGTGGGAGCAGCATTATGTAGAGATTTGAAAGCAAGAACCAGAATTTTAAATTGAGCTCTATATCTCACAGGAAGCCTATGTAGGGACTGACAGAAGGGTGAGGCGTGGAAGGTGCAGGCGGACAGGAAGTTGAGCCTCGCTGCCGCATTCATTATGGACTGTAACAGCATAAGCTGGGAGCACGCAAGACCACTGAGTAGCGGATTACAGTAGTCAAGGCAAAAAAAGGATAGTGGAATGGACCAGCACCTTAGTTGCATCTGGCATTAAGTAGGGTCAGATGCGCGCAATGTTTTTGAGATGGAAACAGGATTTGGTGATAGGCTTAACATGAGGCGTGAAGGAGAGGTCGGAGTCAAAGAGAACACCTAGGCAGCGAGACTGCATGGTGGAGCTGATGGTAGCACCGTTGACTTGGAGGAAGACAGAAATAGGAGTAGCAACACTTGAGGGAGGAAAGACCAGAATTTTAGTATTGGTAAAGTTCAGTTTAAGGAAGTGGGCAGCCATCCAGTTAGAAATAGCAGAGAGGCAATCAGAGACATTAGTCAAGAGGGACGGGGAGCGATCAGGAGAGGACAGGTAGATTTGCGTGTCATCTGCATAGAAATAATATTGGAAGCCAAAGGAGCTAATGAGTTTACCAAGGGAGGCAGTATAGATAGAGAACAGTAGGGGACTGGACTGAAACTCGGGGGACACCAACAGAGAGGAGTTGGGGAGAAGAAGCAGAGCCAGAGAAAGAAACACTGAAAGAGCGCTGGGAGATGTAGGAGGAGCACCAGGAGAGAGCAATATCTTGTAGACCGATATTGCGGAGGATGAGAAGAAGCTGTTGATGATCAACAGTGTCAAAAGCTGCAGACAGGTCAAGGAGAATTAGGATAAAGTGACCACGAGATTTTTCAGCGAGTAGATCATTGGATACTTTGGTCAGTGCAGTTTCCGCTTAGTGCGGAAACCAGACTGAAGCGGGTCTAGCAGAGAATTGGACTCGAGGAAGTCTGTCAATCTCGCATACACAACTCTTTCAAGGATCTTGGATGCAAAAGGCAGTAGCGAGATAGGACAGTAGTTGGATATGGAGTTAGGGTCAAGGTTGGGCTTCTTTAGAATTGGGGTTTCAGTTGCATGTTTAAAGGGCGATGGAAATATGCCAGAGGAGAGCGAGAGATTGATACTTTTTTTAGTGAGAGGTGGAGAAAGAGAAGAAGACATGAGTACGGACGAGATGCGAGTGAATTGGATCTAGGGAGCAGGTGATGGGGCAGGAGGACTGGAGCAGAGCAGAAACATCTTCCACTGAAGTGGGTGTGAAAGAACATAGAACAGCAGAGGGAGTGAGGTTAGCGGAAGTATTATAAGGGGAAGAAGAAAGATGAGAGATCTATTCCCTGATTATAGAGATCTTGTCAGTGTAGTACATTGCAAAGTCTGAAGCGGTGAAGTTAGTAGGTGGAGGAGGAACAATAGAGCGAAGAAGAGAGTTAAATGTGTGCAATAGTTGTTTGGGGTCGCGGGAGAGTGTGGTTATGAGGGTAGTTAAGTCATTTACTTTTGCAGAGGAAAGAGCCAAGCTGTATGAGCTCAGCATAAATATATAGTGGAGAAAGTCAGACACACAGTGAGACTTTCTCCAACAGCGTTCAGCAATTCTGGAGCATTTTTGGAGGTATCAAGTCCATTTCTAGGTTTTATTTTGGTTCATAACTTGGGACAATTGCCTCCCTTAAGGTTGTAAAAAAAAGCAGATGTGAATCCTACTTTATCCACACGGATCTTTAAATGATGAGGGGTTAAGGCCCAAAGGCAATTTACATGAGCGGTCTGACTTCCACCCATAAGGTGGGAAAAAAATCTCCAAGAAAAGACATTCAGAGATGACCATATTTGAATGCATATCTAAATGTACAAAATGCATAAAGTGCTACCTCCACTCAGGGGTCCCTTTAAAAGCAGCTTTTTTATTGTATTAGAGCGGTATACAATAGAGAGCAGGGAGCCTACTCGCAAATTAACTGAGTGGAATAATAATACTGTTTACAGATATTGTATTTTGATTATAGAGAAAAAGGCACGGATGTGAATTTTGTTACAGAAATGTACATAGCTTCATGTGTAAACCCACTAAACTAGCAACATAATACACAGCTCAGATTTACTTTGCGTAACTAAATCTTTCAGAGTTCATTCTGTACCCAGTTCTCCCACACAATTCCACATTGCCAGTGATATCACACAGCACCAGCTGGTGTTGCTTAGAAACTATATGAAATCTGGCTTTCAGATTGACTTGCTAGTACACTCAGCCACTCCCATGATAGCGATGGGTTACCGAACATTATTTAAATATACCATGCTACCATCTAGCTCATGTATAAAAAATAAATTTTAGATTTAAGAATCCTATTCTGTAATGCAGGAGCAAATTATAAAGCCATTCTATAAATACTGGCCTAAACCTGGCGTGGTTGGATCAACATTGCACACTTTGGTCAGAAAACGCAGTGAACAAGTAATGCCCCGTTGTTCACTTTAGTGTATACTTGAAATAGTGAAGAGTTTGTGAGATGGATACTATTAGTGGAGAAGACCATGGACAATAATAAAACAAACAAAAAAAAAGCTAAAATGTTTATTCTCCTGAAAGCATAGTCTTTACAGCAATTGTATGACTCTTTAGGATGGTGTTTGGACAGCAACATGAATTTATTAACCATTTAAATCTATTCGGCTACACAAAGTGTTATGGACCGTTTGTTGGTAGTAGACTTCAATTCCCATGCAAAAAAAATACTTAAATAAAAATTTAGTATAATCCAGAGTTTGTGATACTAAAAAAAACTCCAGTTGTTTAAATGTGCATAGGCAAGTAACTTTATTGTATGTATTGGGGCTGATGTGTACTAGAGTTATTGCTAATGCCCTGGAGTAGTGGTAGAATGAGCACATGGCACATATATGTACATTCTCTATTTATGGGTTCCATTTGCAGAGACGTTTCTGAGTTTACCTTGGAAAATATATATTTATTGAACTTTTTACCTGTTCTTTATTTTAAAATTACATCTATTTACACTTTTCTGTAACAATGGAGTAATGAGAGCTCCAGCGTGGCTAATGTCACTTCCGTGCATAGAACTTCATTCACTGGCAGAGAGTGCTCAGTTGACTCTCTCAGCCAATGATTGATCAGCATGGTTAGAATCCAGCTTTTGCAGAAGAAGAACAACCATAAAAGGAGGATTTGCACTCAGCAGGCCCCAGGTAGGAGGCAAGAAGATGAATAAGATAACTGCAACCAAAGTAGTTTATGCTTCTAACATCAAAAGGATGTCAGTGTACATTTCTTAACATACTACTATTAAAAAAAACCTTGAGATTATTTGACTGGAATGTATCTGATGACTTTAATCAAATAAAAATTCACAGCACATTTAAGGGCAACAAATAATGCATTTTACTGTACAAGTTAAAGTAAATAAAAATACAACCAAACAAAAAATGATTACAGTACAAGATATTTTATACATATATATTTATAAAGTTTAGTATAAACAGCATTTTGAGTTACAAAATGAAAAATTTCGATACTACGGTGCACTGAACACCTGCAAATAACTTAAGTTTCAGGGGAAAAAAGTAAACCTGTATAGAAGAATGCCCTAAATCAGGTGTGGAATTTTTAGTCTGTAAGAGCTACAAACACAATTTGAGAACATGCATTCACATCTCTTTAATCAGATACTTTGCATGGTGGTCCCTATAATCTGACCATTTTGTAACTCTTAGCCATTTTACCCATCCTAGCATAACTTAAGCAAAGAAATGAAACTTTTGGTTTGTGGGTCATACAGTATCAGAATGCTCCTGTTCTTTTTATATAACTTAATACATTTGTGTTTGACACTATATTTGACACCTGATCATTTTTTGACACAGAATATTGCCATATTTAAAGTTTCCCCAATTCAAAATAAATAGAAAATAACTTAAATAACTCAAGTTGTGGCAGAATGAAATAGTGCACAAAACTAAACAGTTACAGTAAGTAGTTCTTTCTTTTAATTCTACCTCACAAGTAGCATGTAATGATAACAAATAAGGACATTTTTAAGCGGGTTGGATTGAAACTAGCACTATGTTACCCCAAATTGAGAATCAACTTGTCATGTCTCAAAAATAAAACACCAAAAGCATTTTTCTGCATGTTGCACATTTCATTTTACCAACAGAGCTATACATTCCCACAGTTCTCAACGGTTTCATAAAAGCAGTCTTCATTTACAACGGAGGTCAAACTCTGAATACTGAACTCTCGCTCCAAAATGGTATTCAAATCAACATTAGCATTATCCGATTGACTCTTAAGAGCCTGGTGGTGATCTTTCATAGCCTGCATAAACCCTTTGTCTCGTTTTGTACTGTTAACCTTCCTCTTAATTGGACAAAAGTGTCCTCGTACAAGTTTTGGATGATCTTTTAATTTAAAATCAGGGTCAGTCTCAATGGTGGCAGACTCTGCATGCTCAATTTTCTTATTAGAATGCTCTGATATATTAAGTGTCTTGAAGTGAACCTCAATGTCTTTTGTGGGACTACTTTCCATGTTTATCAATTGGAATTCTTCATCATCATCACTTAAAATATCAGATTCCTTTAGAGTGACACTTGTAACATCTGAGGAAGTCATCTGCTGATGACTCACTGGAGAACGATTTTTATATTCCTGTAGGCTATCACTGGTGTGGCACCCGCTACTCTGAGTACTGCTGCTTAAGCTCCCATCATCAGAATCTGGTCCATTTCCTTTGTTAATGCTTGTGTTCCAGTCACTGTTAGAAGTGTGTTTCATAACTTTTAACGACCTTGTGGAAGCTATCACAGAAGACAAAGCAACAGTATTAGTACTCTATTTATGCCATTAATGAACAAAGATGTTTGTGCAAAGATATATATATTTTTTTTGCAGGTTGAAGCAAGTAAATAATAACACAATCAACGCACGTTCAAGATGTAAGGTGACTCAATGGTAGGTTATGTTATTCCAAATACCAATATCTACTTCATGTTTTCCTGGGTCACTCATTAAGAACAAATTACAATTACTGTTAATTCATACAATACACAGTTTAATAGTGAGAATTTTAAAGCATCATAACCACTACAGCACACTGATTGTGGGTCTCCGGTACAAAGCCAACTTCTTGCTAACGGTTTGCCAGGCAATTCTTCATCTTTGCTCAATGCAAAGCTTATTGAGGAGGTGGCCGGTGCCCTTGATGGAACTTCTGGGTAAGTTGTCATATCATTATGAAACTGTTAGGCTACCTATATTGGGAGGGCAGCATGGCACTACTGGCACCATAATCATTACAGCATGCTGTAGTGGTTATGGTGCTTGGATTGTTCCTTTAATACAGTTAATGAGGGTCAACACACAAAGTACAGCGGTTGTAAAAATCACCATGGTGAGACCAAACTATCGGCAGACTCCTCACTATGGAGACAATCCAGCAATATCCCTCTGGTGCCCAAGAGTAATAAGTCTGGTCACCAAAACAACTTTAGTTTAATTAAGCAGTTTTTGTGTAAAGATTCTAGACTTGTTGAAGTTGTATTTCTGCTTAGAACACCCCTTTAAATATTAAAATGTATTGGGGAGGGGAAGAGATAAATTTACAGCTAAATCCTGCATAAATTGGTGATTATGTAATTTAGTTCTAGCTGTCCCAATGCTACACTTATGTTATTCCTCAAAGAAAATGTATAATGTCACCCTTATCCTATCTCTCCTCAAAGCTAGACATTGTTAGGACTTTCAGTGTTGCGATATATAGCATGTGGTTCTAGTGGTATTTCTTTTCATTTTATCTAGGACCAGTAGGTCTTGGACAGGAAACATCCTTTTATTTTAGTTTTAATTTTATTGTCCTACTTCCCTCGTGTCTCCATTTACCTGCAACACGCTTTCTTTTAACCAACATTCAAACAAATACCACCAATTAAATTTACATCACAATGCAAACCATATCCCATGCTCTGAAGCTAATTAAAGGAATATTCCAAGCACCATAACCACTACAGCAGACTGCAGTGAATAAAATTTCCAACAAGCACACACACCCATGCACACACCCATAAGTAGTCAACTGTTTTGTAACAGACTACATTTGTACCTGGGTTCCACCAGATGCCACTCTCTGCCTTCTTACAACCTGGAATTTCTTTTCACTGAGCTAAGCCAGAGTTGCAGAGCTTCGCTCACTGGCTAAAAGTGCTCAATGCTGAGGAGGGCTAATAAAAGCTCCTAGCTGGAGTTTCTGGCTTTCACTTTCAGCAGTAAAAAGCTGTAGCTTGCTCATTTAAATGTATTTCTGCCTCCTTAATGGTCTGCTACAGCCTATGGAAACTTCATGTGTGCGATTAAAGTTAAACAGAACATCTAAAGTAAGTAATAACTTCTAAAGTAAACACACAGTGCTGCAAAATTATTCAGTGTGTCCATTTAAGTTACTTTAAGCACCAAAACAGCTTTCGCTTAAGTGGTTTTAGTGCATTGATAATGCCACTGTATTGTCACGGCTTCAATCTCTGCCATTTAGTAGTTAATTCACTTTGTTTATGCAGCCCTACCCACTTCTCCCCTGGCTGACACACAGCCTCCCTATACACTCACTGAAAAAAAAGTTTACATTTTGTTTTTTTTGGTTTAGCTTTCTTTATTGCACACAGTGGCGTATCTTGGTTTTGTGCTGCCCCACTTTCTAAATACACACACACAGTCAGACACACACACACACACAATCACTCACATTAACACTTTTTTTTTTTTATTTAACTGCCCCCCAGCCTCCTTACCTTTGGGAATGCTGGGGGGGAGGGAGGGGGTTCTCTTTCTCCCTGGGGGTCCTGTGGCTGCCGGTCGGGCTGATGGGCTGGCTACTGGGCGGGTGGCTGGCGAGGGAGCACTTCCTCTGAGCGGTCTGCTCAGCTCCCTCGCGCACCGCAGAGTGAGGCTGGGAGCCGGAATATGACATCATATTCCGGCTCCCAGCCTCACTCTGCGGCGCGCGAGGGGGCTGAGGAGACTGCTTAGAGGAAGAGCTCCCTCGCCAGCCGCCTGCCCAGCCCAGCATGTCTGTTAGCCGCAAGGGTGTTTTTTGCCGCCCCTTGAAAAATGCCGCCCAAGGCAAATGCCTTGTTTGCCTCGCAGCTAATACGTCCCTGATTGCACAACGTGTTTAGTTTAAAATGTCTTGTATTCTATTCTGCTAAAGGCCTACGGAAGCGTCTTCTGTTAATGGCTTATGGAAGCTTCTAAAGTTAAACAGAACAGGAGATCATTCTTAAAGGAAACACATTGTGTTGTACAATTATTTTTATTTTTAACAGTGGCTGTGTGAGTTATCACCAGAAGAACTGAGAAGTGACACTGCAGGGGCATACTGATAATGACGTAATTAAGCCATTGTTGTTTTGGTGCTTAGAGCATTCTTTTAACATATCATTTTAATGCAGTGTAACACATACACCCTTACCTAGTTTTGCAGACAAAGGTATTCTGTTTCTTAAAGGGACCAGGCGATCTTTGTATGACTTCTCCCATGGCAGGTCACATTTTATGTTACGTCGTAGGTTCTCCCTCAAAATTGAACGTATTACCTTTACAGTGCTTGTTTTACTTTCACAGTCACTGCAGCAAAGAAAATGAAATATATGAAAAAAAATATGAATATTTACAAATTCATAGACCGGCTGCAGTTCATAGCATAATGATTGCATATGTACAAAATAATAAAGGAGACAACCTATGTTGCAGCACTCTGACAATTCTAGCAATTGTCAATGTAAAATGTTGTAGACATGTAAGAGCTGTTTGACAACAGTTGTTAAGTATAATACTCATATTATAGGTTAGGCTGTGTTGCCGATTTCCATAAGCATCTACATAAAGTGATGTCTTCATGAAGCAGGGACAGTAATATACCCTTTAAAGGGGTTATTATAACTAGTTTGTTATTGTTAATGAATAGTAAAAAGTGGGACACCTTTATCTATAGGTGAAGAGGGCAACTTGACTCTAGGAAATAAAAACCTGATCAGGGAAAAGAGAACTCATTGACTCCTTTTATTCAAGTC